GTATTGCAAATAATTATAAAATTAATAATCTCATTTATTAATCTAAAAATTCAATTATTCAAATAAAAATTTTGTTTAAATAGAGTTGATTTTGAGATAATAATTTTAACGTTACTAGTTAAAAAAAATAACAAATCATCTTTTATATTAATTTTTATACAGACGTGAGTATTTATTCAAGATATTTCGATGAATTATTTATAAAAATAGAAAAAAAATATTTATTACCAAATATTAAACTTTAGTTAGCCTCAAATACTGATTATATTTAATAAATATGGATAAATAAAAAATATTTACCACTAGCTTTTAAGTATTTAAGCTATTGATACATATAGTTTATATCGTTCACAAATATTAGAGTTTATCATAAAATAAAATAAGATTTGTATTGTATATTATGAGCGCATATATTTAGATCAAAACTAGCTAGTTAACTCTTTGATCTATAATTATACAACAGATGAATTAATGTTAAATAATAGCTTCCAAGCAATACATGTGGGCTTTCGATCGCTGTTAGGGGTGAACAAAGCAATGAATATTAGGGCAAATAGTTTTTTTTTATTAAACTAATTATCGATATTTAGAGCTCATATCCAATTGAGACAATACAGTAATATTATTAAAACATAGCAAATGAGAGGCATTGCATTAGAGAGTAATCTTATCGTTGACACGAAACCCAATCTAATCACTTACGAGACAATTCATAGAGAACTCCTGCAAAGATTGCTTTGCTATACATTCAAAACAACATCTCATTAATAGTATCATTCATGTTAGACTTGTATTGGATTTAATTGAATGAAATTTAATTAAATAGTAATTAAAATGAAAAAATTAAAAGGACTTCGTTTTGCCGACACTTCAGTTTCGATCGAAAATTTACGCCAAGAAAGACTTAAAAGTAGACAAAACTTTCTGAAACAACTCAATTGGGATAACTATGAGAGGATTAGGGTTGTCGGCAAAGGTATGTCACATCCATGGCTTCCTTCATTTAATTATACATTAAGTTAATGCAAATTTGTTTCATTTTCATTTTGATTAAAAGAAAAATCATTAGCATTTTCTATTTGCTTAATATAAAATATGTGATTACTTAAAATAT